CAAATAACTTCATTTTCAAATAACACGTTAGGACTCTTATATTTCTTCACCGCACGGTTGCTAGAAAATTCGAAAAATTAAATGTTCTTAATCTATTTATTTATAATATTTTTACGAGCACTTCATTAATAGTATTAATAATTTTAACCATTAAATTAAATAATTAACCACATTAAACATTTTACAGAAAATTTGACTTTTTGAATTACTCTATACACTATAAAACGCATTAAAAAAATTATTGGTGTATTTTATAAACAGATTTCACTTTTATAGACAATGTGAACCATATTTTGGAGAACAATAAAAATGACTGTAATCTGAAGAATTATGCATTTGCCTTTTGGCCACTCCTTCGACGTGACCTCTCTTCTCTTAACTAAATAATTGTTGAACAATATAATAAGCAATTTGCCTGCGCTCTACTTGATACAATATTTTACCTTCCTTGTTAATCCTTTCGACACACTGTCAGAATTTTCTATGATCTTTATTTGAATTATTACATATACAAAATCAGTTTTATCTTCACTCCATCGAATATAACGATTCTATCTTCTACTCGCCCCTTTATATTATAGTCAAACTAACATTTAAATTTAAAGGACAAATATTCATTATTCGCGTTAAGAATTTAATTTATTGTCCATTCAACTACGACAATGGTCACATTTGTTCCTCGTAATATTTAGTAAAAAAGGGATTTTAACTTTCAAAAATGGAATTTAGTTGAAACTACATCAGTTTTTTAAATCAGATTTTTGATTGCTGAATTTTTTCTGTTAAAAAACAATTAATTAAAATTCCAAGAACACTATTTTCAAAAACAATTTTTTTAAAAAAATTTTTAAAAATTAACTTCTGAAGTAGTACAATTTACTCTAAAAATAATAATTTTTAAAAGCTAATTGTACTATGTTCGAAAAAAATGTAAATAAGTTTTATACAAAAATTAACATGGAAAGTAGTAAATTTTTTCTGTTATTAAAAATTAATCCTAATGATATTTTTTTGGGTAGTCTGTAATTTTTTTAAAAATTTGAATCAAAATATTTATTACAACGATACTTTTGTTTTAAAATTTTATGAATTTTACACTATTCGAAGTAAATTATAGTAAAAAAATAAGTAAAATTTGCTTCAAAAGTAGCAAAAATTTACTATTAAAAACGATTATTTCAAGAATAAATTCTCACTGTTTTCGAAAACAATTTTTTTTATAAAAATTAAAAAATTTTACTTCAGAAGTAGTAAAATTTAATCTAAAGTTAATAATTTTTAATAGCAAATTGTACTTTGTTGGAAAAAAATTTGAACAAGTTTTATACAAAAATTAACATGGAAAATAGAAATACTATTTTTTCTGCTTTTAAAAATCGTTATTTCCAGAGCAAATGTAAAATATATTCGTTTGTAAATTTTATTGAAAATTAATTAAATATCCTTTGAATTTAGTAACATTTATTCTAAAAATAGTGCAATTTGATCAAATTTGGAAGAATTTTAATCACAAATTTGGAAAATAATTCAATTTTCAAAAACTTGAAAAATCTTCAAAGGAAAATTAATCAAAATTAGCCTCAAGCAATATTATAGTTATTTACACATTTTACATTTTATAATAAAATATTTTTTAAAAAGATAATTCTTATAATTCTTTCATTAAAATTTATACGTTTCGGAAAATTCAAATAACTACAAAAAATATTTAAATAAATTTTTTTTTTAAATCTTATTTCATAGAATTATTATTAAAATTTTTTAAATAACGATTAATTTGAAAATCTTTTAATTAAATTCTTCAAAAACTGTATTATTTTCCTACAAGTTTTACAAAAAGTCTTTTTTGGAATTCAATTATTTCTAAAAAAAATTACATTTTAATGTTTTTTTAAAAAACTAATTCTCTGAACTTATTTATTATAACTTGTTAAAAATCAATTATCTTCGAACAAAGTAAATTAATATTTTTAAAAAATCTCCTTTTTTTAAATTAAAATTTCCGAAAAATCGTGAAATTTCAATATTTTATATATTTTTTCAATATTTTTGATTAAAATTCTTCAAAAAATTGATTATTTTTTTTAATTTTTCAAAAATTGTTTTATGAAATTCAATTTTTTTTAAAATTACATTAAAATATTTTTAAAAAACTATTTCTTCGAACTTATTTACTATAACTTTTTAAAAATCAATTATCTTTGAACACAGTAAATTAAAATTTTTATAAAATCTACTTTTTGAGATTTATGAAAATTTAATAGTAAAATTTTCAAAAAATCGTGAATTATCAATATTTTTTATAAAAAAACTTCAAAAAATTGATTATTTTGTTTAATTGTCCAAAAATTCATTTATGAAATTCAATCATTTTTTTAAAAATTTACATTATAATATTTTTAAAAAACTATTTCTTCGAACTTATTTACTATAACTTTTTAAAAATCAATTATCTTTGAACACAGTAAATTAAAATTTTTAGAAAATCTACTTTTTGAGATTTATAAAAATTTAATAGTAAAATTTTCAAAAAATCGTGAATTTTCAATATTTTTTATTAAAATTCTTCACAAAATTGATTATTTAATGTAAATTGTCAAAAATTCGATTTTATAAAATTCAATTATTTTTTAAAAAACGTATTATTATAATTTTTAAATAGTAAAGTAAATTCAAGTAAAAAATTAGTTAAATTTACTTCAGAGTTGTTAAAATTTCCTTCGAAAATAATAAAATTTACTATTAAAATTTGTTATTTCCAGAAAAACTCTTATTATTTTTAAAAACAATTTTTTTCTATAAAAATTAGAAAATTTACTTCAGAAAATTTTTCCAAAGTTTGCAAAAAATAGAAATTATTTTCTTCGAGCATTATTAAACATTTTTTCCAATTTATACAAGAAATGACAATTTAATTATTTTTTTTTAAATAAGGGAAAAGGAGGAGAAAATGTTTGATTTCAGGTGTATTAGAGAATTTTTCCAATATTGGTTTTAAGAACCTTTTTTCTATATAAAAATTTTATATTTATAATTTTATTTTATAACTATAATTCATAATAAATTATAAAACAATTATAAAACAAACAAAGTATAAAAATTATAATTAAAAATCAGAATGGAAATTTTATATTTATAAATTCAAATATATATTTTTAAATTTTTATAAAAAAAAGAATGAAAGTCAAAATTTTCAGGTTAGGTGATGCAGGGGAAAAAAGAGTTGCGCAGGCGCGTAGCGGCTGCGCGAGTCTTTTTTCCCCTGCGTCACTACTTTATTCCCCTCTGACGTCACCTAACCTATAAATCAAAATTTCTTCAATCCTACAAAAAGATAATTTTTAATGAAAGTTTTTCTTAAAAATAACAGAAAAAATGTTAATTTACTTTTTTTATTAATTTAAGGGAACAAAAAAGGGGAAAAAATAACAAAAATCAGTATGGATAGGTATAAATATTACTGTATGAGAAACTGAAGTAATAACTTAATTAGGACTTTTCTGTTTATAATTAAAATAATTGTTGATTAATTGAATTTGAATATGATAAGATAATTCTTATACTTTATAAATGTACAAAAGTATTTATACATATATATGAAAGACCCCGCAAAAGCGTCATATCAGTTTTTTTTATGAAAGAACGAAATGAAAGGATGCGCGAATTTTAATGATTTGATCTTCAATGCAGATAATACGCCCCATTGTAACACCTGAGAAAAGTTAGACAAGGTCTGCTTTGGAAAAATTATAATATTACAGGACAACCAATTACTCAATAAAAAAACATATTTGATTATGTTTAATAATATTATATCTCATTAATATATTGTTTTATTTTTACGCTCATTAGAAAATAGTTTAATTTTCCATCCTCTATTTACAATCACAAAAAAATATTTTACATTCAGAAGAAATTTATATATTTTTCCAAAAAGGAAATAATAAAGATTAAAGTTTCTTCTATAAATTGTTGAATTTACTTTATTTCCAATTTAATTCTAGTCATTTTTGAAAATATTTAAATGGAAAAAAGTTCGTTCATTTGAACTTTCAAATAAAAAATTTTTAGATTTGGATTTGGATGTGAATTTAAATTAACTTGAAAAGAATTTTTTTTTTTCAAAATACGTTTAAAAACGTTACGGATGTCAGCCTCATGTTTCTTTAATATCAGTTATAAAATTAAAAAAATGTAATGAAATTAAAAAGAATTAAATTAAACTAAGAAATGAAATTAAATCTTTCAAAGAAATAATTGTTTTTATTAAACAGACAAATTTTTAATTTTTTGAAACAAAAATTCTTTTCTCTAGGTTCACAATAATTACCATCCAAAGAAAAAAAAGCCGTTCTCCAAGTGGAAAATCGAAATACTAAATAACTAAATTCTCTTCTCTCTCAACCACTCATCAAGATTATAAAATACGAACTACAAAAGAAAAAGAATTTGAACCACATTATTATCTTAATATTTCAAATATCAATCATTGTTTCAAACTCACTACATTTTTTCTAAACCACAAAGTTTCCTATTTTCCATCATACATAATTTATTAAAAAAAAGAAAAAAAAAAATATTTCACAATGAAGATGAAATTTCGCAATACATTATCGAATCGCAATGGAAAGAACACGCCTTTCGATGATCCATGGCAAATGATGATCATTGGATCGAAATCTCAAACTCAAGTGGGTTTACAATGTTGAATATCGTAAAAGCAAAAAGAATAGGCATTTAAATTACACACCAATACAAAAGAAGAAGAAGAAGAAGAAGAAGAAGAAGAAAAAGAACAATAATGGGGAAAATGCACTTTAAATCAAAACCTCCACATGCAGATATTGTAAATGTGTTTGAAGAAATACACCCCACTTTGGATTTTATTATATAGAGACGTCCTCCCAAAGGATGATGATCCCCCCTCTCCTTTGACCACATGTTCATAACCACCGCCAAGAAAGAAAAGATTGAACGCCGTCGACTATAAATTCGCACCAGATTCATCTCCTCTTCGTACTTTGTTCCCCAGTAGCAACTACCAGTTATATTAATCAAAGGATTAATATTTTACAAATATTTATTTATATAAGAAAATCATGAAGTTCCTTGTGAGTGCTTTGGAATTATTTGTGGTGATTTCTGTATTTTTTTTTTTTATACAGTTTTTGTATTTTTTTAATACAGTTTGTATTTTTTCGAAAAAAAAAGTGATTTTATTCAAAGTTTATTTTTATTTTTTTTTCGCAATTTTATTATTAATAGGCATAAAAATCGCGAGTGATAAAATTACGCGGCGAAATTTGGATTATATTTTTACGAGTGGCTAGTGACATTTTTTTTGTTTTCCTAAATTTTTGAAACATTCAAAAAAAATTTTTTTTTTTTTTTTTTGAAAAAAATTTATTGGATCAAAATTTTTACTTGTCAATTACCAAATAAATATTTACGTGTATCAAATTAATTTTTATTTAAATCAATTAAATTTGCTTCAATTGTATTAAATATTAATTATTAACCTTTAGAGGACAAATTTTAGTAGTTTTTTATTTAAAAAAATTTAGAAATAAGAAGTCAATTCGATAAAAAAATTCGTTAAACTAAGTGCCCAGTCCTCTAGAGGTAAACACAGTTTTTTCTAAGGATATCAATAAATTGAGACAAAAAAACGTATCAAAATAGTTGCAATCGCAAAAATTTTGATTTAAAACATTAATAATAATAATTAATTTTAATTTAATACGTTTTTTGTCTCAATTTGCTATCCTTGGAAAAACTCTGAATTTGCTTCAAACACTAAAATTATTCAAATATATGGTTCGAAATTTATTTGATTTAAAAAATAATTCGAATTAACCAAATTTGATAGCAGACAAGTTAATCGGTTATTTGAATTAAATAAATTTTTTTCTCAGTGAATTAAATTAATTAGAGACCAAAATCCCCAACGTTTTTAAAAAAGAAAAAATTTTCTTTATTTTGTCTCCAAACTCTAATTATTTGATGACAACTTCTTTCTAAATAAGGAATTTATTTCTTAAAAATCCGTTCAAAATTTTTTTTAATTTAAAAAATTTTTAAAAATTTTTTTTCTTTTCAATTTATTTTAAATTTGAAGTTAAAAAATTTGAAGTTGAAAAATTACAGATGAGTTAAGAATTAAAATTCTTTTTCAAAACACTACAGACTTTAGCCTCATATTAAAATTCCAGACTGAGAATATTTTTGTCTTCTCTATAAATTCATTAACTAACTCTATAGCAAAAGCAAGAATTTATTGAAGGTTCGTTAAAATTGAAACACACTGTAAAAATAATATAGTAAATAAACACAGCAAAAAACAATTCTTTCCCCTCTGATGAGAATTTATAATAATAAAATTTTTAGTAAAAATCGAGGTAAAATTTTTACAAAATTCTATTTACTGATAAAGTTAAAACGCATAAAATTTAAATTTTACTCGCAGCAGAAATGCATAAACGTAGGAAAATATATATACGTAGAGATAAGCAATAACAACAACGAGAAGAACAAAAAAAAAGTTGTAATCGACCTTCAAGAAGGTTAACTAATTAAAATTAATTAATCTATAATTTTGAAGAACAAGATCAGCGATAGTATGAAAAATTGCGTGGTTATAAAATCGTTAATAGTATGTTATTATGCAGTTCCTTTTTTTGCGAATACGTCTTATAAGGAAGAATTAATTTGTATGAAATTTACATTTATATATATTTTCTGTGCGAATAGGTGGCTGTTCTGGCATTAGTGACAATAGTCCATGGTCAATTCCCCAATAGATATCCATATTATCCTGATAATTATTACGGAAGGCGAATTGCAATTCTAAGACAGACACATGATCAATCACCTGATGGCTCCTATGCATTTAGGTAAGTTCTCCGATAATTATAGGAAAACAAATTTTGCCACAAAAATTTTATTTTTTCCAACTTTTCCCTAATTTCTAAAAAATTTCTAAATTTCTAAATTTTGAATTTTAACTTTTTCTCTTACTCGACCCTTAAAAATATTCTGATTCACTCTAAAAATTATTAAAAAAATCAAAAAATTATTCTTAATACATTTATTTGCAAATTTCTTCAATTATCGAAAATTATTCAAAAACATCAGTAACTTTTTTTTAAATAAAAATTTAATCATTATTATTATTTTTTCGAAGTGAATTAAAATTCTTCAAAAGATTGAAATTCAAACTTTTTTGAAAATCAACATCTTAGGAGAATTTTATTATAAAACAAGAGGAAATCGATCACTCCGAGTCTTTGACTCGGAGCAATCCATTTCTTCATGTTTTATAATAATTAACGATGACCGAGTGATAAAATCATTATTTTATATATTGCAAAAATATTGCTAGTGTAACTTTTTCAAAATTATTTTCACAATTTTAATTCAATAATTATTCTCTAGAATCTTTAACAAAAATTCTTTAAATAACTTATTTAATTTAATAATTTTTGAAAAAGTTCTTTGAGATTTTTCCAATAAATTTATTTGCAATTCAATTCTACGAAATTTCAATTATTTTATTGCAAAAATAAATAATTTGTTAAAAAATTAAATTTTTCTCAAAATCGAATTCTTATATAAAGAATTTTATCAACAAATTTTTAAATAATTGAATTCATTCGACAAATTTAAAAAAAAATTTAAGAATAATTACATTATTCGAGGAAATCGATTAAAATTTATATTAAAAATAATTAAGATTGCATTTCAAATAATTGAATTTCTGTGAAAATTTTATTATTTATGCAAATAATTGAATTTTTACGAAGAATTTTTATTAAAATTTCATTTTAAGAATTAAATTACTCTGTTAGATTTTATAAAAATAGTGTAGATATTGCAAATAATTGAATTTCAACAAAGAATTTAATTATTTTTGAAAATAATTAAACAATTTTAATTAAAATTCTCCTTTAAATCAATTATTTTTAATAATTTTAAAAAAAAGTTCTTTGAGAATTTTCAAATTCATTTTTTTGGATTTTAAAATTTTTTGAAATTTTGATTATTCAGAAATTCTTTAATCAAAAATAATATTATACAATTAAAACTTTAAATAATTGAAAAGAATTTGAATTATACTTTTTCAAAAAAAAAATTTTCTACAGAGTTATTAGTTCAAAGTATGACAAATTCAGATTTTCAAAGATTTTAATTTAAAAACCTTTTTGAAAATTCAATTATATCTAAAAATTCAAGTTATAATGTTCTTAACATTTAATTATCAAAAATTTTAACTAAAATTGATTTTTAAATAAATTTTTCTTAGAAATTCAAATTTCAATCAGAATTCAATATTATTTAAATACAAAAATAAATAATTTTTTGAATATTTGAAAATTTCTTAAAATTGAATTCTCAAAAAGAATTTTTTGAACAAAAATTAAAATCTTTCGACTATTTTTAATACAATTTTCAACAATAATTACATTTTTCCAGAAATTCGATTAAAATTAAATAAAGAATAATTGGAATCCTGACTTTCATGATAAGTTTCATTATTTATGAAAATAATAATTGAATTCTTGTAACGAATTTTATTGAAAATTTTCAGAATAATTGAATTCCTGAGGAGAATTTTACTATTTGTAAAAATAATTGAATTCTTGCGAAGAACTTTATTACATTTTTTTAAAATAATTGAATTCTTTCGAAGAATCTGTAAAAAAATGTTTTTAAAAAATTATTATTGATTTTTTCGAAAAATTTTTTTGAAAATTGTGTTTTAAAATAATTGAATTCTTGTAAAAATTTTGTTATTTCTAGAAATAATTGAATATTTGTGTAGAATTTTATAAAAAAAAAAAATTTAAATAATTGAATTCTTTGAAAAAATTTTATTAATTAAATTAATTATATTAATTAAATCACGATTGAAATATTATTATAGGAGCCAAATACCTTTAAATTACTTTTTGTATATTAATCATCGTATATAAATTATATATTGTATATTTAAAATTTAAATTGAATTTAATTCAAATTAAATTTTGATTCGTTTATTTTTATGGGAGCCAGATTTTATTTCTTTTGAAAATAATTGAATTTCTGCAATTATTTGTAACTTCTCCAAAATTCAATTCTATTTAGTTTTGAATAAAAATTTTCTAGAAATCCATTATTTTTAATAATTATTTAAATATATATTACGAAATTTTAATAATTTCAGAAGAATTCGTTTATTAACATTTTTCAAAAATCTAAGTTCTTGCATATATTTCTAATTGAATTCATCAAGAGATGTATTTTCTTTCTATAATAGAATTCATTCAAAATTGAATTTTTCTAAAATTTCAAATTGAAACCTTTTGAAGTTCATCTATTAATGAAAATTGTAATCGCAACTCTTCTAAATAAAATTTTTTACTAAATAATTTATAAGTAATAATGTTAGGAATGTTTTTTAAGAAAGAAAAAATTTAATTTAGTAGTAATCTACTATTTAAAAAAAATTTTAATTTAGAAAAAAGAAAAAAATTCTCTTAATGCGAGAATTTCAAAAAAAGTCTCTAAAATATTACTTTCTATTATTTACCCAAAAAATAATAATTTAAATTCATTTCTTATATTTAAATGAAATTCTCCCGTGAAGTATAGTAACAATAAGGTAGTTCGCTACTGTAATTCAGCATCAGAGAAAGTAGCTAACTGACTAATTAATTGCAAATCTTGTAATTGTCATCTGTTAACAAGAATGCAAACTCACTTTATTTTGATTATTGTTTATTGAGAAAAAAGAAATAGATAAGATACGTGTCAATACACTCGCGTGCTATCTATACCTTTATGCATAATTCTCGCGTGACAGATACACGTGTAACATATATATTCAAGTCGACGACTTTCACGAACGACTCCTCCGCAATTCATTCTTCCAGAGATAGAATTTATGATTTTGTCAATTGCTTTCATCATTTATTTGCAATCCATTATAAAGGAATTATTCTTCTATTCATGCTTACCAGAAATTTGTAAAACAAATTTCATTACATTGTTTCTTATTTAATACAAATATAAATCATTCTTTCTATTATTGTTTTCTATCTTTATTCGAAATTTATGCAAATTCCCGGGATCATAATAATTTTCTCATTAGATAAAAAGCAACTATTCTAAATTTAATTTTTCGCTAAATTTTATTAAAACAATTTCCTGAAATTATTACTTATCATTAAGTTATCAAAAAGTAATAATTATCAATAAGTAATAATTTCAGGAAATAGTTTTAGGGGATTTTTAATTTTCAAACAGCGCCCTGTTTGAAAATTAAAAACCCCCTAAAACTATTTCCTGAATTTAAAAAAGGGGAAGTTCCAAATTAGTAAAAAATTGTATTTCAGAGTATACAATTTACATCAAAGGTTTTTTTCCTTTTTCCGTATTACACCTTTTTTTAATCAAATTTTTGTTTTTATTAATTCAGAAAGGGATAAAAAAACGGAACGAAGAGTATAAAAGATATTATTTTTTTAGTGCTGTTAAAAAATTAAGAGGTGATTTTTTTATCGAGAAAAAGGGTACGATTGTTTTGAAATTAAATGCTATACGTAACATTTACCACTTTATGGACAGATTTTGAATGAAAGAGGCGAAAATTATTAATGTGTGTTTACAATGAAACTAACAGTTGACTGAGAGAAATGTAATTAACTTTGATGTTAATCATTAGCATCATACACGTTTGCGTAGTTCCCTATATAATTACGCAATCGGATATAATTATAATTAACTAACCTACTTAACAGTTTTATTGTCAGAAGGTGCGCCCATTTCCCTTATCATAAAAATTACATTTTATTATTTCATTCTGAATGTCTCGCTCCTTTTGTACTATACATTTCCTCAGAAACACTCTTTAATTGTATAATCATTTTGATTTTAGTCCCATTACACAATTCTAATGATTCAACTCCATATTTATCTGATAATTATTTTTCAAAAAAGAATAGTGATAAGTTTCGAAAAAGTAATAAACCTACTCAAAATTACAAGTATCCAATCGTTTAATTTTCGAAAATTAGCTTTTAGGCTATATAAAGAAATAAGGATTTGCAAAAAGAGATTAGAGAGAGAGAGACTATAGGGAATAATAATGTAGTTTAAAAATAATTGAGATATGCTTTTAACACATCCTGTGTGTAATCTCATTTGACTTTTAAACGAGAGGATTTTTATTGGCTTTAAAATTTTATCCTGATAACTGTCCAATTTAGTGGTTGGTTGTGCATGATAATTTTTCTTACTTCATAAACTCCAAATAGACACATCAGAGATGCGGTATATAGCCTTAAAAATACATATGTTTATGCAGTCGAGCACAAACAGATATGCCTGACATTGTATGTTTTCATGCAATAATAAAAAGCACTGCACTCTGTGAGAGAATGCAACCGAACGTAACGTATTTCAACGCCCGTTTTTTTCGGAAATATTTTGTTGAGTCCGAAAAAAACACTAAAATAAGTTGAAGATTTTTTACATTCTGTTGTATTTTAATACAGGATATTTTTAATTATAGCTTCAACATTGCAGGCTTCGTACTCAATAATTAATTTTTAAAAAGTGGCAAACGTACATTTAAGACTGAAAAAAGTAAGCATCGAAATATTAAGTTCTTGAAGTTAGCGTCGACGCTGAGCATCGAATTATTCCTCCACGAAATCGAGAATATAAAACAATTCCGGAGCAAATTTTCAAAAGCTGATAAATCCATTTTTAAAAAAATTGGGTCAAGTTTCAGCTTCATAAACAATATTCAACTTTATAAAGTTTAAAATTCAATTTCCAAAATTAAGTGGGTGCCGCAGCACCCACTTAATTTTGGAAATTGAATTTAAAAAAAAAAAAAATACCATTTTTATTTTCACAACTCTGTCCAGAATCCGATAAAAATTTCCACACACACACAATCCATAAAAACAAAATAACAGAAATATTTCTCTGCAAACAATTAAACTAAAATTATAATAATTTCGAACACAAAATAAAAAAATATTTTTCACCCAAATTATTAAACACAAGTTAATAATAATTTCTAACACAAAAAATAATGTTGTAGCTACGACACAGAAAATGGGATATCAGTAGCGGAACAAGGTCAGCCAAAGAACGGAGGTCCTGCAGGTCAAGTGGAAACGGTGAGAGGTCAGTACAGTTACACGGCGCCAGACGGAACACCAATTGTTGTTTCATATTTTGCCGATGAAAACGGATTTCAAGCAAGTGGGGCACATTTACCAACACCACCTCCAATTCCTGTTGCGATTCAACGAGCCTTGGCGTATAATGCCGCTCATCCTGAGGAAGAGGAGCCATACAACAGGAGGTACTGAATGGCCATCACAGCGCAAATCTTCTTTTTTTTTCTTTTTTGATAAATGTCTCTCTGTGTGTAAATTATATAAGATAAAACAAGATTAAAAAAAAGGAAAAAAAACAATTATTATTGTTAACCGACATAATATTATTTCATTAGAAAACCCAGTACAAAAAGTACCCAGTACTTTCCTAAAGTTGACATCGACGCTCAGCATCGTAAACTTTTTTTTATTTTTAGTGATAAAATTTTAACTAAATTTACTTCTTTCATTCATCTAGAAAGTATCTAATACCCTTTTAACCTTAAACCTTGGGAAAAATTAAGTGATGGTTTTTTTCGGTTTCGTGAGAAAAATATTTTTCGACGCTGAACATTGATGGTAACTTCAGAGAGCTGTACAATTTATTATAATGATTATCAAGAAAGAATGATTTATTCTTGGTTGCTTTTTTTGGAAGATTAGTGAGGGACTTTCAACAAAATTTGTTCGAAGTAGGGGTTTTGATTTCTAACAAAAAAAAATTTCTGGCAGATAGAAGATAGAATCTAGATTCAGTATGTTGTACAGTAAAAAAAAACCTAGTTAGTCACATTGGATATTAGGTCGAACCCTTCTCCTGTAACTTACAAAATATTTCACTAACCTTCCAAGAAAGTTTCCAGAATCTATCCCACTGTGTAAATTTTTAAAAAATTCTTAACACAATTTTCCTGAAAGTATCAAATTGGATCAAAATTGGTTCCGAATTAGATCAAAATTGGTTCCAAGTTGAATCAAAATTGGTACAAAGAATTTGGATCAAAAATTGTACAAAGAGTTTGGTTCAAAATTGGTACCAAATTAGAGCAAAATTGGTTTCAAATTGAATCAAGATTGGTACAAAGAATTTGGATCAAAATTCTAAAAAGAGTTTGGATCAAAATTGGTACTAAATTAGATCAAAATTGGTTCCAAATTGGATCAATGTTGGTACAAAGAATTTGGATCAAAATTGTACAAAGAGTTTGGATCAAAATTGGTACCAAATTGTATCAAAATTGATGCCAAATTAGCTCAAAATTGGTTCCAAGTTGGATCAAAGATGGTACAAAGAATTTGGACCAAAATTGTTCAAAGAGTTTGGATCAAAATTGGTACCAAATTGGATCAAAATCGGTACCAAATGAGATCAAAATTGGTTCCAAGTTGGATCAATGTTGCTACAAAGAATTTGGATCAAAATTGGTACCAAATTAGATCAAAATTGGTTCCAAGTTAGACCAAAGTTGGTACAAAGAATTTGGATCAAAATTGTACAAATAAGAGTTTGGATCAAAATTGGTACCAAATTAGATCAAAATTGGTTCCAAGTTAGACCAAAGTTGGTACAAAGAATTTGGACCAAAATTGTACAAAGAGTTTGGATTAAAATTGGTACCAAATTGGATCAAATTGATACAAAAAATTTGGATCAAATTCTGATTTGTTCCACATTTTTGCTATACCAATTCATTCCAATTCTATACTTTCAAGTTAAGGGTCATTATCATAAACTTAGGCCCCTTAACACTGAATAAGAATTTTTAGAAAATTGACAATTATTTGCCACTTTAGATAATTTTAAGACATCCGTAAAAAAGTAAGTAAAATCTTTTCTTTCCAATATCCGTTTGCAAATTATATTATTATATTGTAAATTTTGGTATTAGTATATAGTAGTGCCAGCGAATATAATTTCCAGAAAAAATACTCTTATCTATAAATACATGTACTATGTCGGGTGGATGTACACATCGTTCGATTTTATAACTCGACAAGACTATATATTATAAATGTTACATTAGTAAATTAGTATTATATTATCTCCCATTTTATACATATTATAATTACATTATTTACAATCAAAGAGGCACGTGTAAAAAATATTTCATTTTATGTTTTACTCATTAAAAAAGAATCATTCCTGCTTTTTGGGTAATTTCTAAAATATAATTAAAAAAAATTATGTATTTCAGTATTTTGAAATATTATAAATTTATAATTATTAATATTAATTATGAAAGAATATTAATTACGAAAGATCATTAATCTTTTGACGCAGAGAAATTCACATGTGAATCTATTTAAAATAATCAAATTTTTATTGCCCGAAATTATATATAATTAACATTCCTTTCTTAATAATATATGGATATGGACACGTCAATAATAATCCAGCTCACCTTGTAATTTCATTATTTCTCTACTTTTACAAATGAAAAATCACAAGTTTTATTCTTGTTGAATTTCAATATTATAATTATTCGCTGAGAAAAATATTTAATCCGAATCAGTAAAATTTGGTCTAAGAATAGTTCAGTTGGTATTTAGGTAACCAAACTTTTTGATGTTTGAGTAATCAAATCAAATCAATCTCTTTAAATTAATTACGGGAATTAAACATTAAATTATTTTAAATAAATTTTAATTACAATTTTTCAAACGAGTCATTTTTTTTAATTTCAATGTAAAACCTTTTTTGAAATTGAATAATTTCTGACAATTACAGCTGTAATTTTTGATAGAAGGTTCAACGAGAATTCAATTATATAATTACAATAATAAATAATTTATTGAATAATTGAATATTTCTAACAATTGAATTCATATAAAAAATGCTGTCAAAGATTCTAAAAATAATTGAATTATTTCGTAGATTTTAATAGAATTTCTATGAACAATTGCATTTTTTAAAGAAATCATTTTAAATTATATCTGATATTCAATTATTTTCTAAAATTTTAACATAAATTAATTTTGAAATACATATTTATTAGAAAATTTGTCGAGAATTCAATTATTTAATAAAAATAATAAATAATAATTGTTAGAATAATTTATTTCTTAAAATTGAATTCTCATGAAGAATAATATAAAAATTTTTTAACAATTGCTTGTAAACGAAGAATTTTAATAAAATTTTTTAAAATACTTAAATTCTTCGGCGAATACAATTAAAATATACTGAAAATAATTAAAATACAGCAAAGAATTTTATTTAAAAAAATAAATGATTTTTTCTTTTATTAAATTTTTTTTAAATAATTGAATTCTTGTGAAAAAATTTTAATATTTATGAAAATAATTCAATTCAGGGTTGCCACGCTTTTACTCATTTCAAATTCCCTGACTTTTCCAGGTTTTCCAGGTTAAAAAACGGAATTTTTTGAGGTTTTTAAAACTACATTTATATTTTACAAAATTTTTAATTTAAACCTTTTTGAAATTAAACATCTTATAAAAAATTATTATAAAACATGAAAATATCGATCACTCCGAGTCTTTGACTCGGAGCAATCGATATCTTCATGTTTTATAACAAATTAAAAATGTTGGACTGATAAAATCATCATATATTATAAGAATATTGTTACTGTAACTTATTCAAAATTACTTTCATTATTTTAATCCAATTATTGTTTTCCACAATTTTTAACTAAAATTCTTCTTTATAAAGTGTAAATTAATTATTATTAATAATTTCTGAAAAATTTCTTTCAACATTTTCAAATCATTTTGTTTACAATTCAATTTTACGAAATTTCATCGATTATTCAGGTATTCGGAAATTCTTCAATCAAATATATATTAGAAAATAAAAACTTTAAATAAATTAAAAAAAAATTCAATTCAACTTTTACAAAAAAAATTAAATCTACACAATTTTAAGTTAAAAGTATGAAAAATTCAAAGATTCAAAGATTATAATTTGAAATCTTTTCAAAACTGAATTATTATCTAAAGTTTTAACTGAAATTCATATTTCAATCAATTATTATTAGAAAATTCTACGAAAATTCAATTATTTAAATCCAAAAAAAAATAATTTATTGAAAACTTCAATGTTTTTTAAAATTTAACTCTCATTTAAAGAATTTTATCAACAAATTTTTAAATAGGTAATTAAAATTCTTTTGACGAATTTCAATAACATTTTTAAGAATAGTTTCATTTTTCGAGAAATTAGATTAAAAATGTATTAAAAAAACCGCTGCCAAGTTGTATAATTTTTATTTATAATTTTGGTGCTCATTTCATGAACACTTTACTTCCTCATGGAGATAAAAATAATAGAAATATATGAATAACTTTTTATAAATATGGTAAAAGTGATTGAATTTTGGGTCAATCAATTTATTTTTAAATACCCTACAAGATAATTACAATAATTTAATAGTTAAACAAAAATTTTTAAACAAAAAAGTTGAGAAAATGTCATTTTCCACAATTTTTGGTTTTTAAAATACCAATAATTTCGAAATTTATTATCGAATTAGGTTCAAAAATAGGTCAATCGAAGCGTTTTTTGAAGCTCTACAAGTCGGTAACGATAATTTTAAGATTACTTCTACATTTTTCAACAAAATTTTCAAAAAAGTCTTATTTTCCAAAATTTTGAATTTTTAAAAGTTTAATATCTCCGGTTAATACGGACAAAAAATGTTCAATTAGGGCTCAAAAGATGCGTCTAAAAAAACTCTACAAAATTATGGAAAAACATTTTTAGGTGTCCTAACATTTTTTTAAAGTTATGGGCAAAAAACGTTTTTTGAAAAATTAAAAATCCAAAAAAAATTTAGTTAAACTTTATTAATATATTAGAAAGTACTCTCATTTTATGTCCGCAGGTGAGATCTACAATTTAAAAAAAAATTCAACCCAAAAGCTCTTGATGATTTCGAGATATTTATGAAAATGTGATGTTTACACACACACACACACACACACACACACACATACGGAATGACATTTTTTAAAAATGTCATTTTTGAACTCCTGAGGTCAAATAACATAAAGATATGTCAAAAAATCGAACTCGAAAAATTTCGGTATTACAATACTTCCTCTATGAGGAAGTAATAATTGAATCTCTGCAAAAAAATGTCATTGAATTGAGAAAAGTTTTTGAAAATAATTGAAATTTTCTCAAGAGTTTTATTAAATTTTTTTTAAATAATTGAAATATTGCCATTAATTTTATTAAAATTTTTCAAAATAATTGAATTTTAGAGAAAAATTTTAATATTTATAAAAATAATGGAAATTTTGACTATAACTTTTTTTCAATTTTCGACCATAATTGAATTTCTGCTAAGAATTTTATTACTTTTGAAAATAATTGAATTCTTGAGACGTATTTTTTAATAATATTTCTTTTTAAATACCTAATTATTTTGAATACAAAAATAAATAATTTATTGAATAATTGAATGTTTCTCAAAATTGAATTCTCATAAAGAATTTTATGAACAAATTTTTAAATAATTGCATTATCTTGACGAATTTTAATAAAATTTTAAGAATAATCACATTTTTCGAGGAATTCGATTAATTAAAAGTGTATAAAAAATAATTGAAATTCTGTAATGAATTTTATTATCTGTGAAAATAATAATTGAATCACTGTAAAAAATTGTATTACATATTTATAAAAATAATTGAATCTCTGTAAAAATAAATTGAATATTTTTGAAAATAATAGAATTATCGCGAAGAAATTTATAAAAAAATTTTAAAATAATTCATTTCTTTTGGAAAATTTTATTAAAATAATAGATATTGAAAATCATTGACTGGAGGAGAATTTTTGAAAAAAAATTGAATTTATTAAAAAGAATTTCATTAAAATTTTTGAAAATAATTGAATTTTGGAGAAAAATTTTAATATTTATAAAAATAATTGAAATTTGGACTATAACTTTTTTTAAACTTTTGACCATAATTTAATTTCTGCGAAGAATTTTATTACTTTTAAAAAACCGCTGCCAAGTTGTATATTTTTTTGTATAATTTTGGTGCTCATTTCATGAACACTTTACTTCCTCATAGAGATAAAAATAATAGAAATATATGAATAACTTTTATAGATATGGTAAAAGTGATTGAATTTTGGGTCAATCAATTTATTTTTAAATACCCTACAAGATAGTTACAATAATTTAATAGTTAAACAAAAATTATCAAATAAAAAAGTTGAGAAAATGTCATTTTCCACAATTTTTGGTTTTTAAAATACCAATAATTTCGAAATTTATTATCGAATTAGGTTCAAAAATAGGTCAATCGAAGCGTTTTTTGAAGCTCTACAAGTCGGTAACGATAATTTTAAGATTACTTCTACATTTTTCAACAAAATTTTCAAAAAAGTCTTATTTTTCAAAATTTTGAATTTTTAAAAGTTTAATATCTCCGGTTAATACGGACGAAAAATGTTCAATTAGGGCTCAAAAGATGCGTCTAAAAAAACTCTACAAAATTATGGAAAAACATTTATAGGTGTCCTAACATTTTTTTAAAGTTATGGGCAAAAAACGTTTTTTTGCAAAATTAAAAATCCAAAAAAAATTTAGTTAAACTTTATTAATCTATTAGAAAGTACTCTCACTTTATGTCCGCAGGTGAGATCTACAATTTAAAAAAAAATTCAACCCAAAAGCTCTTCATGATTTCGAGATATTTATGAAAATGTGATGTTTACACACACACACACACACACACACACATACGGAATGACATTTTTTAAAAATGTCATTTTTGAACTCCTGAGGTCAAATAACATAAAGATATGTCAAAAAATCGAACTCGAAAAATTTCGGTATTACAATACTTCCTCTATGAGGAAGTAAAAATTGAATTTCTTTGATGAATTTGAATAAAATTTTTAAGAATAATTATATTTTTCCGCATTTTTCGAGGAATTTGATTAAAATTGTAATAAAAATAATTGAAATTCAGCGATGAGTTTTATTATTTATGAAAATAATTGTAAATTTATGAATTTTTTGATTATTGATGAAAATAATTGAATTTGTGTAAAAATTTTTTTAAATTATCCAAAATATAATTGAATTTTTTATTAAAATTTTTGAAAATAATTCAATTTTTTATGAAAATTTGGTTAATTTTATTAAAATTTGTTTTTAAAGAATTGAAATCCTTTGTGGAATTTGAATAAAATAGTAGATATTGAAAATAATTGAATTTCATCGATGATTTAATTTTTTGCGAAAGTAACTGAATTCTTACGAATAATTTTTTTTTCAAATGTTTGAAAATAA